TTTTTACGATATTTCAGCATGACAATCCGGTAACAATAGGACAGACATGGCATAAACAGAATAAAATTCTTTCCCATTCAGTTTACTATCATTCTTTTTAAGTATATAGTATTTTACAATAAATTGAATAAAAAGTATAATCGTCCAGAATACACGGTAGTTCATTTTTGTTACGTGAATTGCGATGACAAGAACGAGACAGGGTTGGAAGCTGAAGTTAGAAGTATATATCCACATTTTTCTCGAGTATGTTCTTTTATAACTATTAAACCATTTATCACTATACGTGATAATTGACGAATGACACGACACGTATGGACCTGTATTAAGTAAATGATATACATGCATGTATATGTATATATACATATATATGTTATGAGATATTATTATTATCGATCTAAGGCATTATTTCGAATAGACATTAGGGAAAACTTCTGCTACCAGCATTACACATGAAAATGTGGTTGCTGATTGTGAGGGGAAGGATACATGCTCCGCCACTTAATGAGAAGCCGACAGAAAACGTAGGATGATCAAGGCCGGATTTATACTACCGACGAGCCGTGGACGAGCCGAGTAGGACTTACAAATATATCAGCAATGGTACAAATTAATTATAACACCTATTTCGTCTGTGCATTGAATCTTCCATCGTGTCATGCTCGGCTCGTCTCCGTCACGCGTGGGCATAAAGGGTCCTTTGGCTCCATAAGTAATTTTAAGCGAAACACGTGCTACATGCATGCATTCTCCGATTCAGTGTACAGTATTAGATTACCTGACGATACCTTTCTCGCAAAGACTCGCTCAGTGCTAATAACTCTAATGTAAAGTAATCTAAGGTAATCGTAAGTTACTTGATTTTTATATTTTTATTTATAATCGTTATGAACTCAAGCAGCTTTTCACAAACCGAAAGATATTGTTACACTGTGAACTTCACTATCGAATAATCGTACGAGAAATAATTGTAGGATAACATTAAAAATTCAAGTTAATAAAAATGATTATAGTAGTCTAACTTTAAATACTTATGTTAGCTGTAAATGCATGAAACCCGCAGTCTAACTCTAAGACCAGCTGAGATGTTAATTAGAACTTATCTTCGTTAGCTAGAAAATCGATGATACGTGAGAAAGTACAGTTGGCAAAGATAGCCATTAGAATAATATTAAAAGCTAAGAAATCGCATGATCTTTCAAGTTCAAGTCTTCCGACGTTGGGACATCATTTTTAATTTCGAAGTCTGGAAGTCGTTCAAGACAAAATTTTTAAGTATGAGTATCTGGTAACGATGGAATGAGAAGACATGTTGATATCGTTACGCTTGAGATGTGTTATACAAAATAAATAGAATGTACAAAAATCCCTTCACGTTCATTTCATTATTATTCTTTTTAAATATATTCTACTTTACAACAAATTGAATGAGAACAATCGTACGGAATACAAATAGTTTTATTTATTAAACCCGATTTCCGTCTTAAAATATCTTATCTAAATTATATTTAATAATAGTTGAAGCTTTAAATTATAAGGGGAATCGATCTACTGTTCACGATCTTCGTGAACATTTTGTTTACTACCGATGCGAATGAAATATTTCATTATAACTAAATAATTTCATGAAAATTGCAATTTTTGGGCAAAGAAATAAGCAGAGAGAAAAGAAAAGCTCTTCAGGTTGTTACAAATACTCATTCTTCGAAATTGAATTGAGAATAACGAGACAGGTTTGGAAGCTGGTAGACATTAGAGACATACATATGTATGTATAATGTACATATATGCGACACATTCTTTTCGAATATGTTTCTTTATAACTATTACATCAATTGTCACTACGTGATAATTAACACAAATCGCTCCATGAATACGTTAAGTATGTTATACCTAAATATTACCGAAGTAACATACATCTAAAAGAATGATGATATGTAATATAAGTACACGTATTGCATATCTCATAAGTAGATAACAGCATATAATGTAAGAAAACGTTTCTTTCGAGTATGTTTCTTTGTAACAATTAAACCAATTATCACTACACGTGATAAACAAAAAGAATCCTGCGCAGTGTACGTTAAGTATATTAAATATATTACTGAAATAACACACATTTAAAGGAATTATACGTAATATATTATAAATGCACGTATTACATATTCCATAAGTAGATATAGCATATGATATAAGAACAAGATTTTTTCGATTATGTTTCTTTATAATTGTTAAAATTGTTAACAAGAGATAATGCCATGAAAATCGCGGATCCTACGAAATGTACGTTAAGTATATTAAATATACATATTACTGAAGTAACATAAATTTGATGGAATGATACGTAATATATTATAAATGCAAGTATTACATATTCCACAAGTAGAAATAGCATATAATATGAGAACACGTTTTGTTCGATTATGTTTCTTTATAACTATTAAACCAGTTGTCTGACATGTTTCTAATATTAAATATATTAAATATGCATAATAGTGAAATAACATGCATGTAAAGAAATGGTATATAATATACATATATAGGAACACGTATTAAATATCCCATGAATAGACGTAACATACGATATAAGAACACTTTTTTTCGAATATGTTTCTTTGTAACTGTTAAATCAATTATCACTATACGTGATAATTGTACAACTAAAGGTCCTACTAAAAAAGTACGTTAAGTATATTAAATATATAAATTAGTAAAGTAACATACGTTTAAAGAAATGATGATATCTAATTATACATTTAGATATAAGACCAAATTCTTTTTTAATATGTTTGTTTACAACTATTCAACCAATTATCACTACACGTGATAATTGTCAGAGTCAAAGGGAAAAGAGGATAAAGTTTCTCCTGTCAGAACTGCATAGTAAAATATGGACGTTGATGGCGAGGGGTAACATTCAGAGAAGAAAACATGAGAAGAAAAACGTAGGATGATCAAGGCCTGAATTATACTATCGTCGAGCCGTGAACGAGCCGAGCAGGACATACAATTATATCAGCGACGGTACGAATTAATTAGAACACCTGTTTCGTCTGTGCATTGGATCTTCGATCGTGTCATGCTCGGCTCGCCTCCGTCACGAGTGTGTATAAACGGTCCTTTGGCTCCATAAGTAATTTTAAGCGAAACAAATACTATATGCATGTTTATGTGTTAAATATCGTTTGTTCAATTATCTGACGAGACGCGTAGACTAAAGATCGATGATATCGATATATATCGCGTATATCGTCTCAGTGGCATATAATATATTTAAAAGATTTTTAATCATTTATAACGATTTTATTGCTTGTTCTAAATAAGAAATGTAATTTTTGCATTTTATGCTCGTCCTTTTGTTGCAAGCTGACGTCACGTATATCTTATACAATAAGAATATTGCTCCAGATGTTATGCTTATATTAGTATAAAAAGATGACACGTTTGTTTGCTTTTAAAAAATTTGGTCACGGTGGATATTTGATACCATTATTTAATTAACACCGAGAAGGCGAGAGCTGTCGAGGCATACGAGTCTTCGACCTGACTTTGCGATCTCATTTTCAATTTCGCAGTTCGGAAATCGTTCACGCCGAGATCTTTAAGCATGAATGGCCACTGGCTATGTAATAAATAAAACGGGATGGCATGGCTGTCGATATCGTTATGATCGAAGTGTTTTATGAAAAATAAACGGAATGTATAAAAAGTTCTTTCCCATTGATTTTACTAGTATTCTGTTTTATATTCTACTCTACGATGAAATGAACAACGAGAATAATCTAATCCTACAGAATACACGGTAGTTCATCCTCGTCGCGTCAATCACGCTGATGTACCGCGTCTGTGTATACTTTTTGATAATGTTAAAAGATAAATTATAACCGATTTCCTTCGAAATATGTCATTTACAGTTTTTGTTAATAACACGTCAAGATTAAACGATAAGTGAAATTGATCTTCGTGAATATCTGCTGTTACGAATCGAATATTTCATGTGTAACAATTTTCATGAAAATTACAATCTTCGAGCAAATAATCTCAGAATTATAAAAATTCATTTTTCATTGTAATTCTGTTTATACATTTAAGTTTCTAGTATTTTTTTCATATAATTTTAAATGATTAGGTAATAGGTCGCTTGCAGGATTCCCTTTGAATACTTTTCTATCCTTCGGATTAGAACTACATAAGTACCATGATGCTTATTATTCGAAAATGTATTTTTATAAGTGATATGAGTATGTTACAGAGCAGAGATATGAAAATAAAATTTTACGTTCATTTTTTACCAACTCTGCTGCCAGTTTGACGATCGGGTCGTAGCATTTAGCCGTAGGAGGCACCTCTATTTTTAACGCGATTGCTATTTCGGTTTATGGGATAATACACGGACTAGGTATACGAGTAAACCTATCGACACCAATCGATGTATTTTTCTGTATCCTGTATTCTGGGGCTCGAACGCTGCGTTGCAATTTCTATGTCACTTACAATTATATCAATAAATGTGCCGAACCTAAATCCAGTAATGTATTGTAAAAATGGCTAAATTCTGATTAATAAATGAATGGAAACAAATCTTGGTATTTTTATTTCACTATCCTTGACCACGCGACCAAATAACCAATCCTAGGGGGTGGGTACTTAAAGTCAATGGTCAACTGGTCATTCCCCTTTGGAATGACCCAAAAAATCCTGTCCGATTATCGATAAATACGGGAGGGAACGAATATGCAAATCCGGAGCCGCGCTTTCTAAGAATCGGCCAATCGTTTTGCGCAAGCGTCATTTTGTCCAATCCGTCGATCCCCGAGAGGGTATAAGTACGGAGCCCCGACGCTCCTCGAGTCACTCGATCGGCATTAAGGCCGGTCGAGATACCCCTTTTCCCATCCCTTGCGAATCGTATGCGTGTGCGGTATGAGTATGAGTATGAGTATGAGTGTGTGGGTACCGGTACTAGTGTGCAGTATGCCTTCCTAAATTCCACCCTATAACGGAGCGAATTTAACTTCATCCCTCTCTCTCTCGTTTCAGTCAATTCATTTTGCTCGCGTTTTAGTATACCCGCGTCGCGAATAGTAGTTTACCAGTCAGACTTTGCTCGAGTACCAGAGGGAGAAAAGAGTTGTGGTCCTGTATCTCGGGTGGCCTGTCTCGTCAGTCGCTGGGGTGTTCCTGTTCCATTCCCAGGTGCAGTGCGTAAGCTCCGTGAGACGGATTGGTCGTGGTCAGGCCATTCCTGCGCTGAGGCATCGTCATTCGGGTGCAGGGTCCTGCTCGGCTCGAACTCTGGTGCCCAAGTGAAGTCTGACATTTTGTGCTTACCTTAGTTTCCAATTAGAGTCAATAGTTAGTCCATAGTTAGAGTCAATAGTTAGAGTCTTGTTCGCAATCGTATAAAATCCTTCTCCAATATTCGCTCCGTATAATAGAGTGGCAATTTAATATGGGAGGGGGCAGTGGGGATTGTCCACTGTCCGGGTCTCGAACGTAGTCACCTCCACGCGGTGAGACCTGGGTTGGCAGCGTTTGCAAAATCTTTGCAAACGCTACCAAGCGAAGAACTACTTTAGTTTAAGAATCACTGTATCTTAAATTGTATGTCAATCTTTCAATAATTTAATGTATGTACTAATAAATCTAACGACTAATTAAAGAAATCGATTGAATTCTGATTAATAAATAAATAAATGGAAATATATCTTGGTATTTTCATTTCACGATTCCTCACCTTTCCATCAAAGTTTTAGGGATGTCTACTTGGAATCAGTGTTCGAGCCGAGTACATAAAGCCAGCGTCCGACTTCTGAAAAGGTACCACGCGAGGAACTACATTCTAGCTTAGAATCTCTGTATCTTAAATCGTACTTAGATCTCTCAATAATTAATAATAATAAATAATAAATGTATGCACTAATGAATCTTACGATGAATTGAAGAGGGATCCACGACGGGAAAATCAGATATTTAAGACGATTCCTCCGTTTATTTTGTACAATTCTCTTAGTCGAACGGCACACGCAAACGACAATGACATTAATGTCACATGACGGACAGGATGTGGTTCATTCGGATCGGTCGTCATGTGTGACTCACATTATATGCGTGCGCGGGACTCATCTCGAAGTGACGAAAAGAGAGAGAGGAGAGTAACTGCCGACGGTAGCATGTAACCGCTGCGCTGTGAACGTGGCGCACACGAGTCCAGCCGCTAAGGTCGCACACACGACGTTTGACCTTAGCCCCCAGTTTGATTCTCGACAATCGAGTCAAGGAAATCGTTTTCGCAGCCTTCTTTATCACGACGTTCACTCAACGATTCTACCGCGCAGGTGTATCAATTAACATTCTCTTCATCCCTTAACAATTTCTTTCATTTATCCCCTCACTCCCAAAAAGACATTAATTACCCAATGGAACGAGATCAAAAATATATCAACGGACCTCCTGAAGTAACGTTTAAATTCATATAAATGAGGTTTAATATACAGAAATGATATAGAAATAATAATTATTAAATAGAAATATAAGCTGTTCGTTCTTGCTACGCTTCTGCCACTTGAAAAGTAGCACAGTTACACATGTATCTACATAATAATTTAAGCTTCTCCTAATGATTAGACATATTAAATTAAAAAGCTTAAGTATAAGCTCCAAAATCGAATTTGCTTAATTATCCGAAGCAATAATCATAAGTGGCTTGTAATCCGAGTGTAGAACCACCTGTTATGAAAGCCTACCAGCCAGATGTAGAAGATGGACACTAGATCGCGCTTCTAAACTTCGATCGCTTTCGCTATAAATCGCAACAGCGATTCAATCAGTAATTATCAACTTTTAATTACTATAAATCTCTGGAACCCTATAAAAAATCTTACAAATCTGTTTCATAAGAAACCAGTTGAACAAATGTAACAAAACTTTGATCGAGACTTGCTACGATATAACGAGTACCTGTAAAAAAGTGAACGTATTCTTTTCTAACATTTACAAATTACTCATCTTCGTTCTTTAAATACTAAATAAATAATTAAAGCAATACAAGAATTTCTTCAGTTTCATTCTTATTTGTTCATTTCAATTTCAATTCGATTCTATTGTCCTCTATTTTTACAAACGCTCGTATCTGCGACGTTAAATCGTAATTTTAAAACGTACCACACGTGGCTTGTATTACGAGGAAGCGGAATACAGTCGTGCGCGTAATCGTAATGCGGACGCTGCCGAGCGTTGAAATCTTCGTGGGCAGCTGTAACAGCTAAAAACCTGTTCGGTTCACTTCGAACTGAATAGCGTAACGAGACAAAGAACGTTATAGGCGTGGCATGCGAGGGAACATGAAATCGTGATCGCAACACCGTCATCGCGAAACATAAAAGTTGGTTAATTTAAAAAAAAAGATTGTAGAAAATTCGACGGGGGACAGAAGCGATCATGGTCGAAGGTCGAAGGAGGATTCCTATGGGAGCGACCGGTGTTCGTAGAGCCACGAGACCGGCTCCGAGCTCGAGCCACCATGAAGAATCTTACACACTGGCAGCGATGGGTAACGACCACACCGAGGACCTTGTGAACGTGCATGATCGACACGTCATGGTAACGCTGTGGTAACGAATGGTTTGATGACGACAGCGGTGGTTTAAGGAGGGGCAGTGCGAAAGAGAAAGCCGACGAGGGGAACGGGCGATGGGAACGAGACAGAGGAGCAACGCGACGTTACGGCGAGGCGTGTTCAGTTAACCTGGTGGCGCTGAACGTCCTACCGTTGGCGGCGGAGAAGCTGCCAACGCTGCCAACCAGCCAGCCGACCTCGAAGAGAGCTCACGGTTTCGGTGCGGCGAATACCTCCGTCGTTTCTCGCGTTTTATCTCCGGTTGTTTTCGCACGTTCGCCGCATTTAATTCCGGAGTAAATTTTCATATACGTGACCAGTGCGGCGAATTCCGCCGAGGGGAGATCAGCGATGGTCAGCAAGGATCCGAAAACGGGCGCGGAACTGGCGAATCCTTATGTCAGGCCGCCGAGTATTTCCACCAGTCAGTCAGTCAAGAATTTCTTTTACAATCGTGAGACGGGTGCATTTTTAGGCAGAACAGCCAGCAGCTGGGGTGAGTTCAACTAACTTAATAACTGTTTAAAATTGAACGAAGTTAACTCGGCCCGTTTACCTGCACCTTTCCTCACGCTTCTTCTACTGGCGATCGGTTCTCCGCTTCTCAATTTCATTTTAACTTCCGCTTTATAGTATAAACGACAATATAAATATAATATATGTTTAAAAATGTCGATATTGTTGCTCGAGAAATTCAGTTTTTGTAACGACGCGCTTTTCGAATTGTATTTAAAGTATTGTCTTTTGTCAATTCTGTCAATATTAATTAAGGACATAATTCATATTTTTTACTCTCTAAATTAAATTTTTAAAATAAAAGGAGCATTGATTTCACTTGATAATATAAGCATCTCTAAAATCTTAGAATACGAGGGAATTCGATAGCCACTCGAATAACCATTTTCCTCAGGTAAAAAGGGACAGTGTCAGGTAGCAGTTGTAATTTACGTCTACAATAGTTTCACTGATCCCACTTAGACTTTAGGTATCCTTTATTTATTGCTTTACATTTATATTTGTACCAGAATAAAAAAAGTGTTTAACTTCGAAATAAGCCTGTTCATTGTCGATTACGATCGATTGTAATCTACAAACATACATAAGTAGGCATGTACTGAATCCAAACATAAAAGGAACAATACACGGAGCCAGAATAAGCAGAACACAATACTCGTAACCTGACGCTTAATGTTACACCACTTCTGATGAATAAAAATTTTCTTCCCCGCGGTAATCTATATTTTATAGTGACAGGTTAATATTTATTAATTTAATATTTAATATTTATTAAATTCTGTTGCTCGATGAATTATATTAATGATCAGTTCGTGGATCGACCTATTCGTTTTAATCATTTCCGATGCTTCCTTCATTTGGCGAGTAGAGATCATGAACGAACGTTCCAAGTTAGTACTTACTACGATAAATGTATCTTAATTAACGTGGCATCGTCGACTGAAAGGATAGTTCTAACAGGCACGTGACACATTGAATTATCTCGAATATTTTTAGCGAAAGTAGAAACAATTTGTTTCGATATCTGATATTTTAATGATGTATTCTCGTAATCAAGATTTTTCTAATATATACAGAAAATATTTCTTTGAAAATAATGAAAATGTACTAAAACGTACTTTAATAATTAACTTGTTTAACAAATATTATTTATTTATTACGAAAGTAATGTGAAAGTTCTTATCGTCTGTTTTTACTGCGGTATTAAATTTACTGAACAAAAAATGCTTTCGCAGTGATTACTGCATAGCTCATTGCCAGTGCACGCTCTGTCTTCTTGATTTCAGTGGATTAATTAAAATATGAGTCAGTCTGAATTCTTGATGCTATCATCTAACGAAACTAAAATTCTTTGAACAAAAATTGCAATTAGTTTTATGACACTAAAATCAATGAGTGAAGCATTAGAAGTTTATGGCGACGTTATCATTGTAATCATCAGGTTGGCATGGTAACACCTGCGAGTACACCCTTCGGAAGGGTGTGTGGCCAACGCTGTGTCAATGTTTAGCATTCAAACACGAAAGTTACGTGAGACAATTAACCAGTCGGGAATCCTAGTGACGCAAGTCGACAAAAATTATCTCTCTACGTGGGCATTGAACTTGAAAGCCTCCTGGCTTTCAATTTAATTAGATTTTAAACGATTTTAACGTATCTTACTTATTCATACACAGGTTGAAAAAACCTATTTCTTTGCAGTTACGCTAGAGATTTCGTTTCATACCTCTCGTTGCTGCTCGAATGTTAATCTGTAAAACATGAGCGACGATCTGTTGCCCGTATGTACATATTCCAATAGTACATAGAAGACCCACAATAACTCCGGAGAGATTGGCGGAATTGTGAGATTATGTCGTCTTTCGCTTAATTAGCTCAGAAGCCTGTCATTGCATTGCAGTTTCTTGCAAATTGCATTTACCCTCAAAATGTACCCCTTAATTTACCCTTACCTTGGAACTTAGTCCCATCATCGTGTTATCTCCCGCTACGACCAGTTCTCACTGCTTCAAACTTACGCACGTAAATCTAATGCATAAGTAGTACACGTATCGGATTTCTCTACCATTTTTTTACAGTTTCCTCTAATTTTTCATAAGTGTATTATTCTATTCGGCATATAATAATCTGCATTGAGTATTTTTTATTCATCTGAATCTTGAAACCAGGCTTATAAATATCTTTCGTAATAAGAATTTCTAAAACGATCTGACGAATAAATAAAAAATAAATAAACTGTAGTTTACGTCTGAATACTGTTTGTCTCAACACGTTTTGATTTGTTGAGAAACGGAGGTGAGCCGAAACAGAAAGCGGAAGGTAGAGAGAAAAAGACGGAAGCGCGACGACGCTCGGCTGATTCGTGATGCACACAACGGTTTGCTCTCGGCTGAATGGCAATTGTTAAACTTCCTTTAGCGCAAACGCGTACAACGAGGTCAATTGGCGTTAAATGGAGGCATTACGGCATTATGTAACTTAGGGCCATTCCGAAGGGTACACCCACGTGACCGTGTCGTAGCTTTCAACCTCGAACCTCCGAAAATCTCTGAACTCGATCTTACGATATGCCTTCCTCCTCTGCTTCAAACATCCTATTACATCTGTCAAATTAATCAGGAACTTTTCTATATAATAGAAAATCCAATAATCAAATCTTAATAGAATTTTTTTTATTGAACGTTTAAGCTCCATCGACAACTTACAAAGTATTAACAGCATCAGACGATACAATCACCAAATTAAATGATAAATTTTAATGTCTTCAAGAGAACAGAGAAGGTAACAAGCTTCTTTAACCGAACAATCAATTTTATCATTCTGTTTTTATCCTTCGATGTCTCAACGGGAACCATAAAAAGACAATCTCTTTAAGTTCATTTTTCAGATAACATAAAGCCTACTGTATTTGTTGAGTGATCAAAATTCATGTCCTTATCAATAAAATTTTTGTAAGATACTGCTCGGTAATTTTCTGAATAAAAGAATGAAAGACATGTCGATTTAAAAGAGAACTGATCATTAATTAGTTCTAATTGAAATATAATTTTCCCAATGAACGTTTCAAAACAATTCTAGCAGCTGTTATTCAATTCCTCAGTATTGATACTTTTTCAATACGTTCATTCCTATATTGCAACTATCGTGTTGCACGCATACGTACACGTGCATTATTGCAATAGCTATCGTATCGAGATACTGCTTATCTTTTGCATTTATAAGTCTAATAATGTAGGATAGCAGTGTCGATTGATAAGTCACGTAGTTTGAATAATCGAGGAATAAAAATTCATTGCTCTCGACTGTTATTTTACTTGAACACAGATTCTGTTATCTACATCAGAAATTTGAAATATGCCAAGTCAGGAAAAGAATACATTTTATGTAATCAAAATATAATAAATTCTTTTAATGAATTCTATTTATAATAAATTCATATACAATATCTTCTGATTAATATAAATTCATTATAAAGCACGACACGTGGTACTGATCGACTCGGTTTGTGTTCGTGCGTTAAAAATATGCGCGAGGGTAAAAAGTATCAAGAGTCAACTGCAATGATTTTTGAGACATTCGACCTAAGAATCTAATGGAATTAATCGACGCGTGGTGGCACGCCGTGTAATATAGGTTAATTACATTAATACTTGGCTCAATTCAAACGAAGATCCGAGCGTGTGGTCAAATGGAACAATTCAATTACGTACCGATTCAATGTCTCGCAAGGTCGCGCTTCTCGGATTCCACTGTTCGCTAAAACGACGCGACGGCTCGACACCAGCAAATCTACACCCATTCTACATCTTAAACTATTACTAAATAATTTAGACTGTAAGCCTTTTACGTAAAATAAAACGTTTGTATCATTTGAGAAAATGCATTTTATATTTTCCTTCGTCATTTAATGAAACGTCGGGACTGTATGTAATTGTATCGGTTAAGAAAATTTATTTCATACTTTCTTTTATCATTTAACGAAACGTCAGGACTGTATGCGTTATTGCAACTGATGCGCGGTGATGCGGAACCATGTAAACGCTCGCCGGAAGCGTATGAATTGACGGAGGAAATATGGAAAACGAGACTCGGATGTAGCACAGTCGATCTCTCTGTCTACTTTTTAAACTCCGTCACTTTCCGAGTCCAACGATTTCCCTTTTTTCAATTCTGCAATTCCATTATTAGGTGAATCTTTCACGCTGTAGAAAAACTCACGTGATAAATAAGGAATTACTAATTGTACCCATTTGATGTAGTCAGATCTGAATTTTGTTTTACAGGCAAAATAGGATTGTTCTATTTGATATTCTATGGAGTGCTGGCTGCGCTGGTGGCTATTTGTTTCTGGGGTTTCTTTCAAACGCTAGACCCGAGAATACCGAGATGGCAATTAGAACGTTCGATAATCGGAACGAACCCTGGTATAATATTTTCATACGATCGAGTACTTACGCGTATAATAGTACTTTGTTCGTGAGCTGATTCTCGTTTATAGGCTTAGGATTTAGACCACGGCCGCCACTGGAGAACGTAGAGAGCACGTTGATCTGGTACAGGGGAACCGATAGCGAGAACTTTAAATTTTGGATCGAGTCTTTAGAATCATTCCTAAAAGGTAATTGTTCATATCTTTTAAATTGATGTATTTCCGTGCCCAGTGCAATGGAAAATTCAGTCAGCGTTCAGTTTTGATATAAATCACGCATGTCAAACACAAAAATTTTCCAGATTATATAACACCAGGATCGGTTCTTGGTCTCGGCGCGAATATTAATAAATGTGACTACAATCAACCGCCGCCGCCCGGCAAAGTTTGCGACGTCGACGTTAAAAACTGGCATCCTTGTACCAAGGAGAATAAATTTAATTACCACAAATCAGCGCCGTGTATATTCCTAAAGCTTAATAAGGTGAGTCGTTTGATAATCGCACGATCCGTCTCGATGTTCTTACTAAATAAATGTTATATAATGTTGTAGATATACGGATGGAAACCGGAGTTCTTTAACGATACGAAATCATTGCCAAGCAATATGCCGGCCCAGCTGAAGGAATATATTAACGAAGTGAAGGATCCTCGCGAGTTGGAAACGATTTGGGTGTCCTGCGAGGGCGAGAATCCCGCGGACCAAGAAAATATAGGACCCATCAAGTACATCCCGCGGAGAGGTTTCCCCGGATATTTTTATCCCTATGAAAATTCCGAGGGTTACCTCAGCCCGCTAGTGGCCATTCACTTCGTCCGACCACGAAGTAAGTTACACGGGAATCGAATGAGTTATACAGAGAATTCTTTTCTATTAAATGAATGATCGTTCGTTACAGCTGGAATTTTAATAAACGTGGAGTGTAAGGCGTGGGCGAGGAACATAAAACACAATCGCAACGATAAACTGGGTGTCGTCCATTTCGAGCTGATGATAGATTAACGTCGTTTTGTATACTTTGCTTAGGAGGCGGGGAGGGTCTCTCCCTTATTAGCTTACGTGAACGCCATGCGAATCTCACGTTTTCTGACGAAGCTGCTTTTAAAATAGCCGTCAGAAACCGACGACCGCTGCCAAAGTGTGCATGAAACTTTTTCACGTACAAACTAAAGGTTTTCCATGTTCATATCATCGAAAACCCGACACACTTTTATGTGCACCGAAGGAAGCTGTAATACATTTAGTAATCCCATTTTTTTTTATATTAGATCGAACGCGTATTATAGTTACGAAAAAATCATAATTCTCTGTTGCGTGGAAAAATTGAATAAACGTATTGCAGTCTTTCCTCGATGCCACCGTACAGAATGTAATACACAATTTTCGCGTTACGTTCTTTTACGACTAATAATTGGCCACGGATTTGATGAATAACCGTGATATTATATTTTTAAAATTGTCAATTCCAAATTGATACTTTCTAAATACAGGAATTTTTAATCGAATCTCGCGAAACGATCTATTAAGTCTAATGTTTAAGAAACGATTACCGATTAGTCAGTGTTTCAATTAAATATACCTTGCGAAATTG